CGTGTGCTGTTGTAGAGGACTCCCCCCCCCCCCCCATACACCCCAGATAGAGCTTTCACATTGCCCGCTGTCAGCCCCAATACTTTTCTTAAATTTTTATTTTTTGAACTGTATTGTAAGCATAGTAGCCAAAGTGTAATACGGCAACTTATAATACAACAAATATAAGTTCCATAAAAACGAGTTATACTTACTCATGTCCATGAGTAAACCCATAGCACTTAACAAGTAGCATATTGTAAAGGTAAAGGTTCCCTTGCTCGAAAGCCAGTCGAATCCGACTCTAGGGTTGCGGTGCTCATCTCCGTTTCAAAGCCGAAGAACCAGCGCTGTCCGAAGACGTTTCCATGGTCATGTGGCCGGCATGACTAAACAACGAGGCGCACGGAACACTGTTACCTTCCCACCGAAGTGGTCCCTATTTATCTACTTGCAATTTCTTGCTTTCGAACTGCTAGGTTGGCAGGAGCTGGAACTAGAGACAGGAGCTCACCCTGTCTTGCGGCACCCGGGTCTTGAACCGCTGAACTACTGACCTTCCACAGCCTGCAGTTCAGCGTCTTAACCACTTGAGCCACCGCAGCTCCAGCATATTGTACAGTATGATAATTAAATTCATGTTGCATTACAACCATATAAAAGTTATGGAGAAGACAGTCTTCAATGTAGAAGAATAAAATATCCATTACCTTGCATCCCTGTGTACTTATTGAGCATAAACAGTAATTTTACAAAAATAATAAATCCATTTATCAAATTGGGACCACTCAGAGGAAATAAATTCCTGTTGAGATAAATATTCCAACACCGGGTACCACTTCCCAACAAACCTCCTGATACAAATTCTGATATTTATCATTTAATGTACTCGTAACTGCGTCCATTAGATAATGGTTCCACAATTTCTGGTACCATGTCTCAATCTTTGGTCAATACTTTTCAATGGAGGCAGTTCACAAGTTAGCGAACCGTCAGGAAATGGGGGAGTAGGACTTGTGATGTGCATGTGCATGTGTGAATCAGCCTACTGTGTCCTTAGACAAAGCAGTAGCTTCATTTCCTTCACCCAAAATCTTTCCTTGAGCATCACATCTCCTTATCATCTCTCTCTTAGCATATCTCACCATTGCCTTTATAGTTTGCATTTTGTAAAACGACCCTGTGTGGTCCAGACAGGTTACTCCCGCACAGTGGTTGCATTGAACCAAATAACAGCCCCCATAAAGATATACTTGCCCTTCTAAGACTGAGTAAATGTCTACCTCATCCAGCTCTCTCACTCCAGCAGCAGCCAGCCAGATGTCTCTGGGAATCACATAAGTAGGGCAAGTGGGGGGCTCCCCATTAATTTCTCCCCCCCCCATCTGATCATAATCGGTGGAATGCTGCCTCCGAGCATGGAGATTCCACTCTTAACTACCATGACTCATAGTCATTGATAGATCTGACCCTCTGAATGTGTCTAATCCTAATTGGAAGCCATCGGCGCTAGATTCCATCACAGCATCTTATAGCAATGAATCCCACATGTTAAGTATGTGCCGGGTGTAAAATGACTTCCAGTTGTTTGTCCTGAATTTAGAGCTGATCAGTTTCATTGGATGATTTCCCCCCCAAAAAAAACAAAAATTAGTGCTTGCAGATAAAAGATCTGATAAGGACACAACAGTATGTGTCGCCTGGTGATATTGCTAAAATACATTTTTAAAGGTGCGTTTCCCTGTATTTTTCTGGGACCCTCCCCCCAAGGGTAAAAGCATCTTGCTGGAGGCAGTTTTCAGGGAGAGGGGAAATGGCACAAGGGAAGAATTAGAAATGCCTCTCCCTTGAGACTCCCTCCCTGGAAACTGCAGCCTCCGCAGCAGTGGGGGGGGGGGGGGAACACAATCCTCTAAAACAATCATAGCTGTGTAGCTCTGCTCGACTTCTTAACATTTGTATAGCACTTTCCCTGTTCAAAGGACTTTCTATTCTCTTTTGCATTCCTTACAACAGCCATGTGAGGTAGGACAGTATCATCCCAAACTGAGAATTACTTTCTTAAGACCATCTAGTGAATTTGCAGTAGGTATAAAATTTGAACCTGGGAGCTCACAGATCATAGCACATTCTCCCAGCCACCATCACTGAGCATTTTAATTACTGTCTGTCCTATAATATTACTTTTTGTGGGATATTACTTTTTGTGGGATACAAACATGCTTTACTGCACAGACATGCACTTTCGCCAGTGTCTTCTTTTTTGTTTTCCTGAATGTATAGCTCAGCAGTGAAACCCAAATGGACGTTGGAGCAGAGGTCAATCAGTGGCTATTAGCCACAAGGTATAAATAGGGGCTCTGGGGCAAGTGATGCTCTGTCTTCTTGGTGCTTGGGGGGGGGTCAACAGTGGGAGGGCTTCTAATGTCCTGGCCCCACTGGTGGACCTCCTGATGGCACCTGGTATTTCTGGGCACTGTGTGACACAGAGTGTTGGACTGGATGGGCCTTTGGCCTGATCCAACATTGGCGTCTCTCATGTTCTTATGACATCTGTACCCATTCCAAAGTTATATTTTCACCTGTCTTTAGATACAGGTTAACTTCGGTCTACCTTAGAGATGCCAGCCTCCAGGTGGGACTTGGGGATCCCCTGGAATTACAGCTGATGACAGAGATTAGTTCCCTGGGAGAAAATGGACGCTTTGGAGGGTGGACTCTATGGCATTGTACCCCACTGAGGTCCCTGTACCTCCCCCGGCTCCATCCCCAAATCTTCAGGAGTTTACCAACCTGGAGCTGGCAACCTTACCCCCCCCCCATCTCCCGCTGATGGCCGGGCGGGGGGGGGGAACACCTGGCAACCCCAGTCTACCTATAGATGAAAAATGCTGGTTGGCAGAGTCGTAATCCCACCGGCTCCAGACAAGAGATGCCTCCTCATCCAATCTAGATTTTGATAAACTATTTGAGGAGTCTGATTCTTCTCCCAAATGCCGGTCAGAATTCCAGGGTAGTCAGAAAGTGAATTCTAGGGTAGTCAGAAAGTGATTTAAACCCCAGTGTGGAATCTTTGCCTCAAGGCCTGGATTGGAGAAAGGCAGGGCCGAGGGAGACCTCAGATCATCTTCTTCCAAAGTTCGGTGCTTGCTGGCAGGTCGCCACCCGAACAGCTGTGCTCCGAAGGGAATGGGGTGGAAAGGCAGTGGCTGAGGGACCTCTGGAAGGCTCTTCAGTGAGTATAGCTGGGCTTGACTGAGGAAAAGCAAATCTATTAGGAAGGCTCAGTCTCATGTCACAGGAAAATGGTGGGTTTTAAAGGCTTGTGGTTTCTTGGGAACGAAGTCTATCGAACATTCTTTTCAATTGTCTAGAACCTTTATAAAATTGCCCCCAACAAGAGAGATGTCAACAGGAGTTCCTCATCTTCCTGGCCCTCAGCTAACTGCTGATGGGATGTTTGTAAGGATAATTTTATGCTGGCGTGGGTGTTCTCCTTGAAAGCCTCTTTTTGTGTTCTCTATCTGGACTGGTTTAGGGCTTCTGTTTTTATGGTCTGTGTTAACGACTGTTTTCTAAGCTTTCAACTGCTGGTTTTTATTGTTATATGATTGGTGCTTTTTATGTTTTGATTATGGTAATGGAAATGTTATAAATCATTTTGTAAATGGCTTCGTAGGAAGTGTGGGGTATAAGTATTTCAAATAAAACACTTGAATAAGGATGTACTTGTTAACATTGGTATTTGAGGGGGGGAACCGTATTGCTACCAAGATTGTCTGATAACAGAGTTTCCATACTTTCGTTGAGGAAACTCTGCAAAGCCATTGTCTTCCCAAAATGAATGCCTGCCAGTCACAATTATCTGTGGCCTTTCCTCTGAGGAGCTCTGAGTGGCGTTTTAGCTGGCAGTGGCAACAGGTGGGTTGACATTTAAGGCAGGTCTTATTTTCCAACTTGGAGAAAGGACTTTTCCTAAACAGGCTTCAGCCGGCCCCCTGTTAGTCTACAGGTGAACACCACAGTCGATACTTGGCAGCCGTCCTACTACTTACGAGGCAGCGGTTCGGCTTTCCATCGGATTACAACAATGGACTGTTTCTCAATTACAAAGCTACAGCAGAGGTCTAATTACAGTCTAACTCGGGTGTAAAGTGTTGCGTGCATGTAACAACTTTCGTATTGTTTCATATAATTTTGTAAATTGATCTTTTGCCTTATATACGGACTAGGAAAAAGGCCCGTTGTGGAAAATACAACGGCCTCTAGAAAGAGGCTCTGGGTGGGTGCCCCGGCCTTGGACACTCAGTGTCAATTTGCTGTGGCGACCTCAGCAGGGTATAATGACACTGAGTCCACCATTTTCTCCAGAGGAACTGATCTCTGCTACCTAAAGAACAGTTGTAATTTTGAGTGATCTCCAGTCCTCAGCTGGAGATTGGCAACGGTGGTTCCCC